GTAGAGCCAAGTAAGATCTCTTTTTGTCAAATCACATGAAAAATCTTGACAAAATAAAATAATTGTTGTCACTTAGCTTGATAACGATAAGCTTATTTTAGAGTGGAATCTATGGACATGCTTCACCATTCATCTTATGGCCATATAATAAAGAGAAAAAATACTAGGAAATGATAGGGCAGAAAGGTGGATTACATTATAACTCTGGTACCACAATAGGAAAAATGTTGAAACATTTAACATATGAATGATAAATGACTTTAAGCTTTTAGAGAAAGACAAATATTTCATAAGTTTCTCCGTAAAAGTGTATTAGGGTGATCATACATATATAGATAGAGGATATATAGGGTTACCGATATGTTGACATGAAAAATTTGACTTTAAATACAATTCAAGAACAACGCGTGCGACCATGTGTTGCTCCTGTGGTCATTTCCTTTATTAGATTCAAGTAATATTAAAAAGAATGTGAAAGTTATATCATTCTTAACATAAAATTTTCCTTTCTTAACAAGACATATTTAAGCATGTGAATAAGAATGAGATAAGAGTTAGATCGCTGAAACACCATTCAAAAAATATCAATAAGAATGAGATAAGTATGTCATTGTATGGTAAAAATTTTCCTTTCATAATCATATGCAAATATTTAAGACCAGATTATAGTATCTTTTATGCATACAAACGTTAAGATTATCTAATTACTACCACATTTTTGCTAATTAAAAATATAAATGGTTAGTACTTGCATGCACTGCACGTGGTCTTTAATAAATTATTACTATATATAACCTAATTTTGGACAATAATGGAAAAATATTTTGAAGAACATAAATTTTGAGGTTCTAGGGTAATTGCAATTTCTATTCGATCAACGTTTGAGTAAATCTTTACCTCGAGTCCACCCTCTCACATTTGAAGGCCCAATTGCATAAAAACATCTTGTTGGTGCTCAAACCTTACTTAGTTCGACAGCAGCATCATCCTCATCTTTTTTTCTTGGCGAATCCTTAACATGCCGAATGAACACTGCTGGAGTAGAAAAAAGCTGGAGGATCCCCCCTCACCATCTAAATCCCCAAATCTCCATTTGAATAGATTATCATTTTAACTGTCGCTCGCGCTCGATATCTTGTTTGTTTGTCGGAAAAGATGATTGGAGAAAGAAGAATGAAGAACAAAAGAGCAAAGGAAAAACTTCTAACATCAAGTCTCTACTGGGATCACCCAAAAAGGTTATTCCAGTGCACAACCAAAAAGTTTTCTCCATTTGGACTCGTCGTGAATTGCGAAAAACAAGATTGAATTTTCCATTAACAGCCAGGGTATTGTGCAAAGTGATAAAGGAAAAGTTGTATAATAGAAGGGAAATAATATTAGGGTTTCATTAAATGTTATTGACCCATGTGTCTCTTGCATGAAACGTTCCTCAGAAAATGTGCACACACGTTTACAGCTTGAATATCCAATCTAGCCCGATATCAGGGGCCATCAGTGATGATCGAATAAGAAATAACGCGATAAATGTCACTTATTCAACCAAAACAACCAATGTGTTAGCTAATAGAGTCGAGCCGTGGAGCCAAGTGAGAGATCTTTTTTGTCAAATCATATAAAAATCTTGACAAAATAAGATAATTGTTGTCATTTAGCTTGATAGCGACAAGCTGATCTTAGAGTTGAACATATGGACATGTTTTACCGTTCATCTTGTGGTTGTATCATAAAGAAAAAAAATACTAGAAAATGATAGGGCATAAAGGTGTATTACATTATGGCTCTGGTACCACAATAGGAAAAATGCTAAAACATTTAACATATGAATGATAAATGACTTTAAGCTTTTAAACAAAGACTAATATTTCATTAGTTTCTCCATAAAAGTGTATTAGGGTGATCATACTTATATAGATAGAGGATATTTAGAGTTACCAATGTGTTGACATGAAAGTTTTGACTTTAAATACAATTTAAGAACAACTCGTGCGACCATGTGCATGCCAACTGGAGTATGCATATATCCAACCTGTGCTAAGTGATAAACTTTTTGCATGAACTTTTTATTGCTCATGGGGTCATCTCCTTTATTAGATTCAAATAATATTAACAAGAATGTCAAAATTATGTCATTCGTAACATAAGATATTATTTTCTTAATTAGACGTATTTAAGTAATGTCAATAAGAATAAGATAAATGTTAGACCGGTGGAAGTCCATTAAAAAAATATCAATCAGAATTGGATAAGTAGGTTATTGTATGGTAAAAATTTCCTTTCATAATCATATGCGAATTATATTCTCTTATGTGTATAAACATTAAGACTTATGTAACTATTATCGATACTTTTGCTAACTAAAAATATAAATGGTCAGTACTTGCATGTCCTGCATGTGGTGATTATTAAATTATTACTATATATAATCTAATTATAGACAATAATAGAAAAATATTTTGAAGAATTTAAATTTTGAGGTTCCACGAGAATTGCAATTTATATTCGATCAATATATGAGTAAATCTGTACCTCGAGTCCGCCTTCTGATATTTTACGGCCCAACTGCATTAAAACCTTTTGTTGGTGCTCAAACCTTACTTAGTTCGGCAGCAGCATCATCCTGACTATTTTTTGTTGGCGAATCCTTAACATGCCGAATGGGCACTACCGAAGTTGAAACAAGCTCGACGATCTCCCCCCTC